CGCGGATGGTCGTGGTTGAGGGGCGGATGGTCGCGGTTGAGGTCCGGTGGGGAGCACTTGGGTCTGAAGCTTGCGGTTGAGGTCCGGCAGGGAACACTGGGCGCGGATGGTCGTGGTTGAGGTCCGGCAGGGAACACTGGGCGCGGATGGTCGCGGTTGAGGTCCGGTGGGGCACACTTGGGTCTCGAGCTCGAGGTTGAGGTCGGCAGGGAACACTGGGCGCGGATGAGGTCCGGCGGAGGAGGTGGAGGAGGAGGAGGCGGCGGAGGACGAGGAGGACGCGGAGGACGGGGGGGAGGAGGAGACGGGGCTGGCGTAAATCCAACAACCCTCACCTGACAGGTGGGGAACTAAACAAAGTCAAACAATCGCATCAACTTTCTACAGATGCTTGGCCCACTGATGCTTCAATACACTTTTCTACAGGGCATGCAGCAAAGGCAAAATGATCAATGTGGGTTTTCTCGTTACGGATGGCGTAAGCTCTTTCAATTGAATGCATTCAGCAAATGCCCGCCTCCCGATGTAGGTCGCAGAATTTGGGAAGAGGTGCAACCAGAAAAGGCAACAATTCCTACGCGAGTCACTGAGTTGGGGATTGTCAACTGTACCAAAGATCTGCAGCCATGAAAGGCGCCATCACTGATGTTGGTCACTGAGTTTGGAAGTGTCATTTGTACCAAAGACCGGCAAGCATGCAAAGGCCCAATTCCCAATGTGTGTCACTAAATTCAGTATGGTCAAGTTCACTGCAGCAGTGAGAAGCATATTCCCCAATCTGTTTCACTGAGTTGGGTATTGTCACCATGGCCAATTTTTTTGCACCTCTTAAAAGCCCGGTCAACAATGTATTTTTCACCATATGGAATATTGACCTCAAGTAACACATTCGAGTCAATGATGTTCGTGTCAATATCTTCTCCCTTGCAGCATGTCACTGTGTTTCTCTTGAACAGTACTCTGACAGAGACATGTTCAACAACTCCAGTATCCAAGAGCTTTGCATCTGGTGGCCAAAACAGTTCCTGTTTGACCAATATGATTCCGCCAACTTGGGCCCCCAACTTCAGGGTCTAAATATCTATATATATATATAGTTTGCACGATTCCAATGGTCACCACCATTAGTGAAAAGGCCACGGCGGCCACTGTTCTTGGTTCGTCGTCCGCTTCCGACATGGATCGATCAAGAGAGGTTTTTGCACAGCTGGTCTTGCTCGCCCATCGCTGGTCTGTACCACAGGATCCCAGGGTCCGAATGAAGCGACCTCCTCTCAACCTCTCTTGACATGAATGCACTTCGTGGTCGAACGCGCGGCTAGACGGGCAGGGGAGGACTCAAGCCAATTCCGGAGCAGCGAGTCGGTCCCTTTCGGAGCACGGGCGACTCAGCACGGAGCCACGGGTGAAATACAGAAGTGGGTGCAAGCTGTTGTGGTCCAGGTGGTCTGGAATGAAAATGGATGGATTAGGATGGATTCAGGGGAAAACCACGGCCAGGGTTGAACTCTGACTCTGAAGCTGTCTCAAGGGCTGGGGCCGTATACCCTGTCGACTTCCGTTCGACCATTAAACAAATGGTTCCTCACTGGTGTGTATAGTGTAAAATCCTTAGTTGATTCGGGATTCAGCCTATTAAACTATCTTGAATTCATGGTGGTTGGAAGCCTAGGGGTTCAGAAACTGGTGCAAGCTGTTTACGGCTCCGGTCCCCTTCAATCAAAAAGTGGGTGACCAGAGCTGGTTTTGTCGTTCACAAAGAATCCTTGGTAAAACCCATGGTTGTTCGGTCGGGGCCGTTGAAAACCATGATGGTCCAGGAATCCTGGGTGTACGGAAAGAAGTCTCCCCCTCAGCGTCTCTTCTCCATGTTCAACCCCAAAAACCAAAAAAAGAAAAAACTACACCACCTATCACTTCCTCACCTCCGACCTCCCCAAACCTCCACCGGACTGGAACCGCCTTCCACCCCCCGTCCACGTCACAACGGGCCTTCCTCGACCGGAGGACGCGGAGGTCCTCGCGTCGCGGTGTCGTCGGTGTCCTCGTGATCGGTGCTCGCCTCCGAGCGCTGGCCTCGCGCGGTCGATTCGGGGGGCGGACGGGGCAGGGGCGGGGCGGTCGAAGGGGGAGAGACCAGCAGTTTTTGGGATCTTGGAAGGCATTCGACTTTTGAACGTCGACTTCTTTTGGAAGGGGAATGGACACTGAACGGTACCAGCATAAGTGGTCTACTGTAGAGGCAACTGGAAGAGGCTGGGCAGGCTGGGCAGTTTTGGAGGGCATGGTTTTTTTTCCGCCCTGTTTGGGTTCTATTTCCACCTTGTCACGCGTGGGCTTTTTTTTAACCCTGTGCAGGGTTCTTTTCTCACCCTGTACAGGGTTCCTTTTCCACTCTGTGCAGGGTTCCTTTTCCACCCTGTGCAGCGTTCCTTTTCCACCCTGTGCAGGGTTCCTTCTCCACACTGCGCAGGCACCCTGTGCAGGGTTCTCCCTGTGCAGGGTTCCTTTTCCACCCTTTGCAGGATTCTTTTTCCACCCTGTGCAGGGTTCTTTTTCCACCCTGTGCAGGGTTCTTTTTCCACCCAGCGCAGGGTTCCTTTTCCACCCTGTGCAGGGTTCCTTTTCCACCCTGCGCAGGGTTCCTTTTCCACCCTGTGCAGGGTTCCTTTTCCACCCTGCGCAGGGTTCCTTTTCCACACTGCGCAGGCACCCTGTGCAGGGTTCTCCCTGTGCAGGGTTCCTTTTCCACCCTGTGCAGGATTCCTTTTCAGGGTTCCTTTTCCACTCTGTGCAGGGATCCTTTTCCACCCTGTGCAGGGTTCCTTTTCCACCCTGTGCAGGGTTCTTTTTCCACCCTGTGCACGGTTCTTTTTCCACCTGTGCAGGGTTCCTTTTCCACCCCGTGCAGGGTTCTTTTTCCACCTGTGCAGGCTTCGTTTTCCACACTGTGCCTTTTCCACCCTGTGCAGGATTCCTTTTCAGGGTTCCTTTTCCACTCTGTGCAGGGATCCTTTTCCACCCTGCAGAAAAGAAAACCCCTTCAGAAAGGAAACCCTCGTAGGGTCAAGAAGTGACTCCTTCCTCAGGATGGAAAGGATACCCCTGCAGGGCAGGAAAGAAACCCCAGGGCAGAAAAGAAACCCCAGCAGGGCAGGAAAGAAACCCTGCACAGGGTGCCTGCGCAGGGTGGACAAGGAACCCTGCACAGGGTGGAAAAAGAACCCTGCACAGGGCACAGGGTGGAAAAGGAATCCGGCACACGGTGAAAAAGGAATCCTGCGCCGGGTGGAAAAGAACCCTGCACAGGGTGGAAAAGGAACCCTGCACAGGGTGGAAGAAGAACCCTGCACAGGGAGAACCCTGCACAGGGTGCCTGCGCAGGGTGGAAAAGGAACGCTGGCAGGGCAGAAAAGAAACCTCCGCAGGGCAGGGAAGAAGCCCCTGTAGGGCAGGAGAAAAACCCTGCAGGGCAGGAAAAGAAACCCCTGCAGGGCAAAAAAGACTTGCAAAGCAGAAATGAAAACCCCTTGGGGGTGGAAAGGAAACACACAGGGCAGAAAGGAAACCCTCGTAGGGTCAAGAAGTGACTCCTGCAAAGAATCAAAAGAAACCCCTGCAGGGAAAGACACCCCTGCAGGGCAGAAAAGAAACCCCAGCAGGGCAGGAAAGAAACCCTGGAGGGCAGAAAAGAAGCCCCTGCAGGACAGGAAAGAAACCCCTGCAGTGCCAGAAAGAAACCCTTGGGCAGAAAAACCCTGCAAGCAGAAAAGAAACCCCAGCAGGGCAGGAAAGAAACCTCTGCAGGGCAGAAAAGACACCCCAGCAGGGCAGGAAAGAAACCCTGCAGGGCAGGAAAAAGAAACCCCTGCAGGGCAAAAAAGACTTGCAGAGCAGAAAAGAAAACCCCTTGAGGGTGGAAAGGAAACACAAGAAGTGACTCCTGCAGTTCGACGAGGACCTTCCTCAGGATGGAAAGGATACCCCTGCAGGGCAGGAAAGAAACCCCTGCAGGGCAGAAAAGAAACCCCAGCAGGGCAGGAAAGAAACCCTGGAGGGCAGAAAAGAAGCCCCTGCAGGACAGGAAAGAAACCCCTGCAGTGCCAGAAAGAAACCCTTGGGCAGAAAACCCTGCAAGCAGAAAAGAAACCCCAGCAGGGCAGGAAAGAAGCCTCTGCAGGGCAGAAAAGAAGCCCCAGCAGGGCAGGAAAGAAACCCTGCAGGGCAGGAAAAAGAAACCCCTGCAGGGCAAAAAAGACTTGCAAAGCAGAAATGAAAACCCCTTGAGGGTGGAAAGGAAGTACACAGGGCAGAAAGGAAACCCCCGGGCAGGGCAGAAAAGAAACCTCCGCAGGGCAGGAAAGAAACCCTGCAGGGCAGGAAAGAATCCCCTGCAGGGCAGAAAACAAACCCCGCAGGGCAGGAACAGAAACCTCTGCAGGGCACAATCCTCCAGGGCGGGAACTACCAGGACTGCACAGGGCGGAAAAGAAACCCTGCAGGGCAGAATTAAAACCCAGCCCCAGTTTTGGAGCGATCATCCTGGAGCTTGGGGTCAATCTTGAGCGGCCTGGACCGAAATGCGCTGTGCAACATGGCTTCTGACTCTGCGAGTCCAAGGTTTGACTTAGAAACAAAAAAGACCGTTTGCCCTTGCCTAGGTTTATTGAACTACCCCGGAACTCGTCGTGGGATATATACTGACTTCCTGTTCTACATCCTTGGGCCCCGACCTTCATGTTCGAGCCGCTCGGTCTTTTTCGGAAGCACCGTACCGGCGTTCGACCCCACCCGGGGTAGGCCCGCAGGCGCCGGACTGCCAGGTCCGATGGACAGCGCCGCAGGGCGGCTCCCAGCGCTTACTGCGGACAGAGCTTCTTCCAAGCACTATGAATAGGCCAACGAGCCAAGCAACGAAGGATTCGAATCACAAAAGCCAGCTCCAGCTCGTTCCCATGGTTTCTTCATGGTCGATCGGAAGTTTCGGGAATCTAAACCAACAGAGACTATGGACCTGAGAGGCTAAGCATCTGAGAGGCTTCGAACTTGCTGAGAGGCCAAGCACCCAATGACTTCGGTCGCTGGACCGTGACGCGGCCTCGCCCGACCGGAAATCGCCCCGACTGTTTCGCTCGTGGAGCGAGACACGGCGTCGCCCCGGTTGTGAGCACCTTGACCGCGTTCAGTTCACCCAAGAGCTGCAACCGTGAAAGGGGTCTTTCCCTATGTGCGTCACAGAGTTTGGGATGGTCAAGTTTGCCAAAGAGCTGCAATATGCAAAGGCGCGATCCCCGACGTGGGTCACCGAGTCAGGGATGGTCAAGTTCACCAAAGAGCTGCACTTTTGAAAGGCACCGTCCCCAATGTGGGTCACCGAGTCCGGGATGGTCAAGTTTACCAAAGAGCTGCAACCGTGAAAGGCATAGTTCCCAATGTGGGTCACCGAGTCTGGGATGGTCAAGCTCGCCAAGGAGCTGCAATCCTGGAAGGCGCTATCCCTGATGTAGGTCACCGAGTCTGGGATGGTCAAGCTCGCCAAGGAGCTGCAATATGCAAAAGCATATTCCTCGATGTGCGTCACAGAGTTTGGGATGGTCAAGTTTGCCAATGACTTGCAACTCGCAAAAGCCTCAAACCCAATGTGGGTCACAGAGTCCGGGATGGTCACGTCTACCAAAGAGCTGCAACCAGCAAAGGCTGCAAACTGAATGTGGGTCACTGAGTTTGGGATTGTCAAGCTTGCCAAAGAGGTGCAAATCTCAAAGGCACCAGAAGTAATGTGTGTCACTGAGTTTGGGATGGTCAAGTTCACCAAAGACCTGCAACCGCAAAAGGCCTCCTCCTCTATGTGCGTCACAGAGTTTGGGATGGTCAAGCTCGCCAAGGAGCTGCAAGCCTGAAAGGCCCTAGTCCGAATGTGGGTCACCGAGTCTGGGATGGTCAAGTTCACCAAGGAGCTGCAACTGCGAAAGGCAGCATCCCCTATGTGCATCACTGAGTTTGGGATGGTCAAGTTCACCAAAGAGCTGCAATCGCGAAAGGCATCATTCCCAATGTGGGTCACCGAGTCCGGGATGGTCAAGCTCGCCAAGAACCTGCAATATGCAAAGGCATATTCCTCGATGTGCGTCACAGAGTTTGGGATGGTCACTTTGGCCAACATGTCGCAAGCTTCGAAAGCGCTTTCACAAATCTGTGTTTCAGTGTCTGGAATTTCGACTGCAAGCACCAGTTCGGAGTCAACGATGCCACCAAGACCGGCGATCGCGTCTTTGTTGGAGCATATCACTTTGTTTGGTTTGAAGACAACACTCACAACCGTATCTTCAGAAATTCCAGCGTCCGATACCTTTGCATGGTTGTCCAGCAAGTGGTTGTCTCCAACAATTACCTCGACAGCTGTAGTGCGGCGAGTGAGCTCGTCCCAAGGCTGTCCCTCCTTGATCTGCTCCTTGAGCTCACAGCCTGTCATCTCTGACGTGACTTCAAGAACCATGACTTCACCACTCGGCTGCAGTGCTGAAACTCTCTTCGCCATGGCTCAAATTACCTTGACGGATTGGGATTTGAGCTCACTTGACTGATATGATCAAAAAAAATAGAATTTTAAAAAAATAATATCTATGTTATGTCTGCCTTTCTGCCTTAGACGCTGACCTTAGCATTGGGCTCTTGAACCAATCAGAGTGACTCCTGTGTCGATCAGGCCGGAGTGACTGGAGAGACCATCGGGATGTGATGCTTCGCTCATGTTTGGGAGGCCGAACAAGTGAGTGAGAGTGAGACACTTATAGTGAATTGACCAATGGCACAGACCCCAATGTCGGTGGTTTAGATGGATCCCCATCTAAAGGACATCATGGGGTCTGTGCCATCTACTCTGAAACCACTGTAAAGGCAAAGAAAAAAGAACAGAAGTATAGAGTCTGAGAGAGTCTGAGAGTATCCTTGATTCTCCGCGAGGTCTCAGAGAAAATTACCTGGAGACACTCCAGTCTTTTCCACTCAATGCAACCGCTCCCCTTTTTTTCCAAGGGACAAAAACTGCCCGAGTCACTCCAGCCAAATGTCCAGAAAGTCAAGAAAGAATCTTGACCAGGAGTCACGTTCGACGGGGTGCCGAACGAACGGAGGTAGTCGGGGTGCCCCATCGTCACATCCACAGCCCCTGGATGGGACGAGCCACACCACCCAACTCCATGTGACCCCTGGTGTGCATGTCGCTGACCTGTTTGCAAATCATCACCTGCAGATCTTGGACACCCAGGTCCAACCCAGTCGGTCTCCGAACTGGTCCAGACCGTCGCTTCGTCACCCACGCAGCGAGCTCCAGGGGTCGGGCGTTGGAACGACCGAGCGAAGCTGGTTGGTGACTAACAATGGTTCACCTGGTTTTTGTCGTGCAAAATCCTGAGTTGATTCGGGATTCTGCCCATTGATGGTGGGCCAGGAAGTGTAGGGAATCGGGTCGGCCCGGGTCCCCGAGGTCAGGAACTTCCTGAACAGTATCGGCTCGGCTCAGACGAGGAGGTGAGGAAGGGGTCGAACAGTGGTTGAAGTCAGGTCCTGGTGGATGAGCTGGTTGGAATGCTCCCAGCAGTCACGTGAGGCTCCGAGATGCTGGTGAAACCGGAGAGGGAAGGAGTTGGGTGCCCCGTCGTCACATCCACATCAAAACGGCCCCTGGATGGGACGAACAAAACCAGCCAACTTCATGTGGACTCCTAACTGAGACGTTTGCTTGGATCCATCCCTCGATCTCAGTTCGGATCCAGACCTGGAGACTGGGATGGGATCCACTCCCATCCCTCCCATCCCTCCCTTCTCCCTCCCTTCTCCCTCCCTTCTCCCTCCCTTCTCCCCCTTCTCCCCCCCCTGGACCCGCCTGCCGACACGCCGGTGGCCGACGGCGTCGTCTTCGGTGTCACCGTGTGCCCGCTGTGGCCTCCGCTCCGTCCCGTTGGGCCGGGTCCGGGTTCCCAGACTCGAAGCTGCTTGGGTCTGGAGCCAAGCTGGGGAAACCAGGGGCGAGGAGCCAGCTGCGTGAATGACATGTGAAGCGATGCCATGGCTGCCATGGTGAAGTGATGCCATGGCTGCCTGGTGGCTCGGTTTCTGAAACAGGGCCAACCAATAGAACACCTCCACGAATGGAACACCTTCCAGCGCGATTCAGGAAGTGCAGACCACGCTTGTGGCTTGTGGCTTGTGGGCCCGACGCCAACGCCGCGTGCTTGGGGGGGGCGTCCATGGGGGGTCCGGTCCAAGCCAATCTGGCACGTGCACCAAAAGGGAAATGCAAGAAGTCGTGGCCCACCATGGTTTTAATAGCCTGAATCCCGAACCACCATTGTTTTACCTAGGGTTTTAGACTACCAAAGCAGATCGTTCCCATGTTAAAAATGGTCGACTTGACTTTGAGGGGAAATGCAAGAATCGAGTTGCCAACCAGAGATTCCACAGGGCCAACACATGGATCTTCGTTCGTTCGAAGACGAAGAAGCCTCATCTCATCTCCGAGTCTCGGTCGACGCGCGGAGCGAGCTTCACCTCAACTTCTGCCAAACAACTCGCGTGTGGAGCTACGGGCAAACAACAACCCAGTGCCAGCACCACGGAGTTCGGGTGGTTTATGGACACCTCTGACTATGTATGTTTCATCCAATCACCACCCTTTCCGTGGTGCTGGGGTCATGTGGTCCGAACGAACCCAAAAGCCACCGACGCCCTGACGAACCTGATCAGTCCGTCCTCGCCTGCATCGCTGATCTTGCGCAGCACACGCTCTTCTGGCGGACCCGACCGGTGTGGTGACCGGAGCGGTCCGGATCTGATCCCTCAAAAGGTCTGGGGCCCGGAACCGGAGAACCGGTGGCGTCTGGGTTTCGGAATGGGCAGCTTTCTGCCGGTCTATGGCAGATCTCAGATGGGTGACTACAAGGAGACTTCTAGACAAGGTAGTAGGGAGTGACCTCTTATTTTAACCCTATACCCGACCCTAGAAGTCCAGTTCGAAAATTCTTGGCACCACCCAAGTGTTCAGGAAATTCCTGACCTCTGACCGTATTGAAAATGGTCTTTCCTGGACGAAACGCCGCAGGGCTCGTCCGTCTAAGAGTTCAGGTCCAAACCCTGCGGCGGCACGTCTCTTGGCCCCAAAAAGGATCAACGTCCTGGCAAGGGTTGATCCAAAAAGAGGTCCCTGCCTCAGCCTCGCTCTAAAAGAATAACGAACCCCAATCCACTGCATGGAAAGACCCTATCTCTCCCCTTCCAGACGGCTTGTGTTTTACTTCCAGTCTTGTCCAAGGAAGGCAACCCATTGAAATGTGCAAAAATGTCATTCCAATGCTTGGCTGCAATAAGTTTTCTGCGCTGGTCGGCTGGTCAGGTCTGAGGAAGAAATATGAGATACAGTCGTCAGTCGAGTGGTTGACAAAACATATGGCTTGGCACTTTGTCCATCGGCTATTGGCTGGCCTCCACAGGTTTGTTTGTCAGGTCCGACGCTCCGTTTGGCTGCCACGTGCGAGTGACTACTCAAAAAAAACAAAGTATACTAGAATTATATATTAACACACATCTCAACTGAACAAAGAAACGCCTCAAAAAATAGAACACCGCTCTGCGCTCGCTCGTGACAATGAGGGCTGGTCAAAATTAGTGGCCCCTGCGACAGGCCGACAATCAGAACTTTGACAGTATGCCCATCCCCAAGTGCCGAATACATCAGACATTTTGACCGCCCTCAGAAAGCCTGTTGGTGATTAAAAAGTACACAGGCATAATGAGTTTGTAGTGTTTCGAAGTGACCAATCACTTCATCACCTGTGCTACTTCCCTTCAGAGAGGAACTTTGCCCTCGAATCCGGTATCTTCTTATCTCTTCGGAGAGAAACTGCCACCCACATCAATGACTTTGCACTCTACCTGGGGGGGGGGGACTTATCGTGAACAGTCACCTGCAGCTTTGAAGGCCCCAAGACGACTAGGCCATTGAGAGCTCTTAGCCCGACTGCGATCTTCTTCGAACTCACGGGCAAGTGGATCTCCTAGCCGGCCCCGCCACCCGACGGACCAAACATGGAACCCAAAAAGCATGGCAAAGGTTGGGGTGGCCCCTCCCCCTCAGCTCCAGCCAAGATCTTCCCCAGAAATTCAGAAATTCAGCGTGTTGGTGCTTTGACCTTCATAATGCTGTCACCAAATGCTCACCACATCCCAAAAAAGGAGGTCCTTTGCGGAGACCCTCTCCATCTTGTGGAGCCCCAAGGTCTTGAGCAATTCCCCAAGCTCCGCATCCGAGTGCAAGAAGATCGGGCTCATTGTCACGATCCAGCGTGAATGGCCTGGAGGATGGAAAGCTGCGGTGGTGTGAGTTGGTTTCAAGAAACAAGCAGCAAGCAGTGTTAAAAGAACACTTGGAGCGGAGTCCTGTCCTCTGGCTGGTGGCACAGCCAGAAAGGGATTCACTCTTGCACACATCAGCGCTTTGGAGTCCACGTCACTCATTCTGCCCTGTCCTCGTCGCAACTCCTGCCCACCGCCTTGTCGGAGCAAAGCGAAACACGCGAAGCTCCGCGTCGAACTACCGCGGCCTGAAACAGCCAGCACTCCCATGAGCCAGAAAGGCGCATGGCGGCGATTGGTATATCCCTAGACTTCCAAGACCATTAAAACCCTTAGTTGATTCAGCAAAGCCTATTAAATTAATGGTGGGCCAGGAAGCCTAGGGTATGGGCTGGGAAGTGACCAGGGTCCCGGTCCGCCTCGCGGCTCGGGTTCCAAAGTTTGGCCATGGCCCGCTTCGCGCTTCACGCGCACGGAGGTGAAGACACCGGAGAGCGCCACCCAGCACCCACAGAGAGAAAGGTGGTTGAGATTGGATTGAAAATGATGGAAAATACATCTTCATGCAGGGCGTCTGTAGCCCACCCGTCTCCTGGGTGGTGCTGGCACGCGCAGGACATCAGGTCGTTCACGAGACAGACCTGGTGCTGCCTCTGGGGGGGAGCCCCCGAACCCTGAAAATCACCGCGGTGCTTTGGGTCCAGTTCCATTCACCCTAGACCGAACCAACCACTATTAAATGAATAGGCTGAATCCCGAACCAACTAAGGATGTTTCACTACAAAAACCAGTGAAAACCATGTTTTTGAATGGTCGAACGGAAGTCGACAGGGTTCACCTCTAGAAGTCTACCATTGGACTCACCGGGAGTCTGACCCTGGAAAAACCACGAAAACCGCGCGTCCGTCACACGTTCGATGCTCTGAACGGTCCTTGTGGTGGACTGAGGAGCTTCTGCAGGGTGGCCGTCGGTTCAGCACTGGGACTGGGGGATGGCCATTGGCCTGGCGGGCAGTGCGGCGGGAAACCGCGCCGGACGTCGAAGCAAAGGAGGCGTCCTGGCATGGCATGCACTGGTCTGTCAAGTCTATCCTCAATGGTAAATTAATGGAGAAAAAAGGGAACAGCAGCGAAAGAGTTCTTGGATTTCTCACTTCATTCAACAGTCGGATCCTGCAGATGCATGGTGGCTCTTTCAGTCTTCACAACGCGAGTCATCTGCAACTCGATCAGGGACAGAGTTCGGGTATCGTTGCTTTGGTTGGGCGGGGTCGTAGTTGACCTTCGCGGCTTGTGCGACATGCACCTAGTGTGCGCCAAAAAAAAGTACCTGTTAGCTTTCGCGATTTCGGCCACCAATCGCTGGCTCCGTGGGCATTGGTTGCGTCATCTTTCTATCAAGGGGCTTCACACATCTTTCTCACACCTTAAAGAGAACAGCCGTCGTGGGCTTGAGCCGGCCAACAAGCCCAGGCTGTCCGATGTTCCTATGCGCTCGAAGATGTTCGGATGGAAGATTTCCACCTCGCTCCTTCCACCCCACATCCCTAGAAATCCAAGCACCTTCTCAGGTTCGGTGATGTGTTCGACAGAGTTATGTAGGTGCCAAGTCACGTCGGGTCCAGTCGTACCGAACCAGGTCGGTTCGGTACGACTAGATCGACATGACTTGCTCATTCGCTCTCATTCCACCCTTCCCCCCCCGCTGATCGCTCGCTCGCACCTGGCGCCATGGTCACTCCCACGTCATCCAGGCCTTCCCGGGGGGGGCCGAAGATGGCGGACCGGTACAGAGCCAGTCAGCACCAGTCAGCGGATACCACCAGGATGGCCGCGGACTTGGACTCTAGGGGGTTTCTTGTCCAATGGCTCCTCTCATGAGGTGATTCGGGGTGTCCATAATAAGTACCTGCCTAAGTAAGAAGTCCAATGACTCATTGTACCCCACCTGGAAGTCATAATCCACCACTACCCTAGGGGAAGTCATGAGTCATGACTGGACTCTCAGGGTTTGGTTGTTATATTTGGATACCAGATTGACCTCATGAGGATCAAGTCCGTGGACTTGGTTCTGCCCTGCCAAAACGAGAAAAGGTCAAAGAGCGCTGACACCGGGGAGGTGCCCCGGTTTCAAACGGGTGAAACCGGGTGAAACCCGAACTGGTCTGGTCGAGGTAAAGGTCTCTAGATAGGCAAATCACAGGAAGGACGAGGAACCTTCGAGTCTGGCCAACCTCTCCACCAACCTCTTCACACACACACACCAAAAAAAAGAAAGAGGAACGATGTAGTTCGTTCGTTCGGTCGCGTTCGTGCGTGATGAATCTTGTCTTAAGGAATATGTCTGGCGCCAGGCCCAGAAGCGCTGTGCCTTCAGTGCTGCCATACGACAGCAATGCTGATCTCTAGACGGAAACCCAAACCATCCACAGAGGAGCTCAATTGCAGTGCCAGCACGTGGCAGCCCAGAAGTAAGTGAGGTTGACTGTTGGTCACCGCTTGATAGCATGGAGATTGTATTGGAACGAGGCTGCTTTGTCAAGCAGCCCGAGCGGCTCGCAGCATGCATTCACTAAGGAAACGTACCAGCTGTGTGAGCAGCTGTGTGAGCCTTGCGTGGCTGAGCCTTGCGCATCTTCAGTCCTTGCATGCGGCGGCAGAGGCACGGCATGGGCTCTGGAGCGGCAGGACGCAGGGGCTGGACACTTGGGTGGCGAGCCAGAGGTTCACTGGCGGTAGTGGAAGCTCGTGGTTGGAGGCATCCTGGCTGATTTTCTTTGCCAGTCATCGCTGGCTGGGATCCAAGGTTCACAAGCTGCTGGTTTGGGTCTCGGTTTCCAATTGGTACAGACACTTTTGGCAGACTAACACGTCCCCTGGAGCCTTTTGGTTAGCTGGCTGGAGCTGGCGTCTGTGGAGCTTGGCATACCGGCCAAGTGCCTCCGTCAGAATGAGTTCGTGCGCCTGTCCGTGGTGGGTGCCATGGTTCCACACTGAGCTGTCCAGGTGTTTAGGCCAGACCTCGTAAGCTTATGCTTGAAGGTATCCCTAAGGGTCCAGGACCATCCGTTGCTCGGAGGTCCTTTGACCCCCCACCCAAGACCATTCTCTGGAAGTACGTACTCACCTCCGTTTGACCATCCTGAGGAGGTACCTGGACCCTATGGGTATGTGATGGAGTGGGTTCGTTGTTTGAGTCGCGAGTTGGAGACTGCCATTGTTGAAGCCAGGGGTATAAATCCCTAGCGCCGTACTGCTGCTTCGGTGAGCACGTGAAACTCTTCGCCACGTGTTCGTGTGTTGTTGAGTGAGTTCTGTGGGCGCAGGCGGAGACCTATTGAGACGGTGCACGACCTGACAAGACAGCTTCGCCTGCGCCGACGCCTGACTGTAGGGGCATTGGTTTTTCGAGTGTGGACTGTTTGAAGAATATGTCCCACAGACAATCGACAACCAGGGTCTTCTTCTGTGCAAAAACCCTGTTTTGCAAAAGCTTGTCTCCTTTTTTAAGGGTTTGCGTGTCTTGTGGAACATAGAAAAATCGCAACCTTTCTTCAAATCCTCTTTTCCCGGATGAAAGCATTCTTCTTGCTCTGTTCTATCTACTCCCTACTTCCCTGACGAAAAGGCGGGTCGTTCTGCATCGCCTTCTTCCACAGTGGCAAAGCGCCCATCGAAGCGGACGTAGTCCAGTCCTGCACGGCGGAGAGCGGTCGGGGGTCGCTAATTCAGACCTGGTCATTGGCTGCTCTCTGGTCTGCCTATGGGGTTCAAAAGCAGAAGCAACAAAGCGATGTCCAGTCAAACCCGACTCAAAACCTCTGTAAGAGTGGTGAATTTGGAACGAAACTCCAGTCGAATGAGCTCCGACTGACCAGTGCCCGAAGGTTGCTGTCCTGTTTTCTCGATCTGCGTCCCCGAAGTACTAGAAGGATCTCAATAAATCGAACACCTGCGGTCGCGTCCTCCCTTCATGGTCTTTCTTCTTCGAGGGTTGGGAAGGGCCTTGATATATAAGACCTGGTTATCTGACGTGTGCACGCGCGCGCGCGCGCCTGAAAAGAGGGACGCTTCGGCGGCGCAGCTGGGGCCTGTGCGGCGCGAGCGACAAGGCAGCGCAGCGCAGCACAGGTCCGTCGCTCGGGCCACGTCGCTGGAGAGGCGGGGTCGCGATGGCAAGGGTGGAAGCGACCGATGTGCTTCGGCTCGTCAGCACTGGAAGTGGGGAAATGGGTGCAGAAACGAAGGACACTTGGCCGAAACGGTGCTGCAAACCCACCAGACCAATCCAGCCATGCGGAGTTGTGAGGGTCCTAACCTAGGCTATGAGGGTCCTTTCTGAGCCTTTGGGTAAAAGCTTCATGGGAACCACCTACCATCCTATCTGAGTGTGGCTGGATGGGCCCAGTCTCCATAACTGACATGCGCCCAGGAGTGGTCCAGGCCTAAACCTGCTTCTGCTCGATCCAGGACAGACTGTGCCTAAAAAAACACCTCACTCTCCGCTTCCAAGGATGAACGTCACTACTGAGTCGTCCCAGATGGACGTTCGACTAACTAGACCTCCATCAGGTCTGCCGATGCTTTAGACTTTAGACGGTCGCAACCCTCAAAGGCAGACGGGTCAATGTGCACAGAGTCCGGGATTTGCACGCTCGCCAAACCAACGCAATTCCAAAAGGCACAAGAATCAATGTGTGCCACTGAGTCCGGGATGGTCAAGCTCGTCAACGAAGTGCAACATGAAAAGGACCATCGCCCAATGTAGGTCACGGAGTCTGGGATGGTCAAGTTTGCCAATTCCAGCAATTATCAAGGGCATTAATATCAATCTGCGGGTCACTGAGTTGGGGATGGTCAAGTAAGTTTACCAAGGAGCGGCAATCTATGGAGGAAAAAGCCTCAATATGGGTCACAGAGTTCGAGATGGTCAAGCTTTCTAAAGACGTGCAAAACTGAAAGGCATGAGTCCCAATGTGGGTCACTGAGTCCGGGATGGTCACGCTCGCCAAAGAGGTGCAGCCATGAAAGGCAAAATCCCCAATGTGCGTCACTGAATCTGAGATGGTCAAGTCTGCCAAAGAAGTGCAAGACTCAAAGGCATGATCCCAAATGTGGGTCACCGAGTCTGGGATGGTCAAGTCTGCCAAAGAGCTGCAATCCACAAAGGCACCGTCCCCAATGTGGGTCACTGAGTCCGGCATGGTCAAGGTTGCCAAAGAGCTGCAACTAGCAAACGCCTCGTCCCCAATGTGCGTCACTGCATCTGAGATGGTCAAGTCTGTCAAAGAACTGCAAGACTCAAAGGCATAATTCCCAATGTGGGTGACTGAGTCCGGGATGGTCAATTTGGCCAATGTTTGGCACCCCTGAAAAGCTCCTTCGCCAATTCCTGTTTCATCATCTGGAATACCGACCACAAGCAGCAGTTCGGAGACAAGGATGCCACCCAGACTGGCGATTGCATCTTTGTTGGAGCATATCACCTTGTTTGGTTTGAAGACAACACTCACAACAGTATCTTCAGCAATTCCAGCGTCCAATACCTTTACATCATTGGCCAAGAATTGGCTGTCTCCGACAATGACCTCCACACCGGTACTGCTGTGAGTGAGCTCATCCCAAGGCTGTCCTTCCTTGATCTGCTGCTTGAGTTCCTTGCCTGTTGTATCAGGCGTGACTTGATTGCTTGTTGGCCGGCTAGCCTTGATGAGCAGTCCAATGATCATGCACACATGTTTGGCTTCTTCGCTGGACAGGTGATTCTGACACCAGTCAGAGTGCTGCGAGCAAAGCTCAGAGTGCTGCGAGCAAAGCTCTGGAGCTCTGGAGCTCTGGAAATCCCGTGATCCTCAACACCTTTGCACTCGGAACCGGTCCCAGAACCCGATCGAAACCGCCAGGTGGTTTCCGGTGCTGGACCCCCGGGTCAGGTAGGACCGACCAGGTCTCCCGAGGCGGTGGCCTAGGGCGTCCTATCCAGCGACCCGTTTGGCGCCGAAGGAACTGCTACCTGGACCTTCCGTTCGGGGTCACCTGGCTGGAAGCCCCTAGGGCCGGAGGGACCTCCAGAGGTGGAATGACACATCTGCCATTCATCGGTGAAGACAAGAGAATGTAGAAACTCCCAGTCCTTCGGGCCCAAGCTCCAAGGAAACGTGCTCCAACTGCAATTTCTCCGCGTCTGAACCGGCCAAGTTCACAGGTTCACTCGTACGGTACCGACCGCGGAAGAAGCCGGTGATTCGAGTGCAGATCGAGGAAACTCGATCTCCTGGGACCCAAGCCCTGACGGAAATCCAACCATCGACTGATATGGAAAATCAAAGGCGTCATCGAAGTCCTGGCCCACTTACGGATCTCCATTCGACACCCAAGAAGGTCCAGGTAGGAACATCACGTTCTCGAACACCCTCTCCCTGACCTCATCCGAACTCTTGGTGCCTTTTTGGTTGGGAAAAGAGACCCCCCCCCGTCGGCCAGAACTGCTCCTCTCCCACTTCCACCACCATCGGACCTGGGCAACCATCGATCGTCCTCAGCCGCGGAGCTGGCGGAGGTCGCTTCCGGACCGGTCACGCACCCGGCCGGACCCAGCAGTCGGGTCGACCTGCCAGGTCAGGTCGACTGGGTGGAAGAGTGGATGAGCGGGTATACTTCCATCCGACCGGTTCCCGGGAACCCGGCCAGCCCGAGTCTCATCCGGTCGTCGTTTGTCCCGGTCCCAAGGTCCAGCGAACGGTGGAAACTTGTTCCGCCGAACACCCAGACACGACTGGGCCCGAACCTCTGGAGGGGTCGGACTCGGTCATCCGAAGCTGGTCAGGGGTCTGGAGTCTCCAATTTTGAGGTTTGCTTCGGGACCGCTTCGGGGACCGGCCAGCTGGTCGGTCTGTTTTCACGGGCTGCGTTCTGGGTGGTTCATGTTCGTCACGGAAGACCTTCCGACCTTCCGAGGGGAAGTTCCAGACCTTCGAACGACTGTCCTGGACGTGACTGTCTCTGGGTGAAGAGGAAGCGATTTTCAGAGTTCGGTGGTTTTTGGGACACCCCCCAGTCATCACCTCTTTGCGAGGCTATTGATCGACACCTCGAGTTTGGAGGCTGGTAGATGTCAGGAGGCTCCAAGTCCGCTGGCAGAGCGAGAGAACACAGGTGTTCACCTCTTTACGAGGCTCCATGCAGCCCAAACCATCTGCCACGGTGTTGAACCTTCGGTCGACCCCGAAAAACCCTCTGCCTCTGCGACTTGGTCGTGTCGGCCGTGGAGAAACCTTGGTCGTGTCGCTCCGCCTCGTCGTTCCCACGACACCAGGCGGCTGCAAATAGCGGTCGATCGCCTGGAGGTGTTCAAAGACATCCGACAGTCGCCGCCTGGACGTTCTCTCACGGAGGGTCGAGGTGTGACCCGCTCGGAGTGGGGGGAGGCTTCCAGGCTGCTTCCAGGCTGCTTCCATTGGGACTCTCGGTTTTGGGGGCTGGGAGGTCCGTGCCTAGCTTGCGCAACCAGATGCTTCAGGTTTAAGAAAACCCTAGAAGTCCAGGAACCGACGATATTTGGACCGACTGAAGGTTTCAGGGTTCCTTCCTGGACGAGGTCACCGAACTTGTCAGACCATTCTTTTTATAGTCGACTGGACGAAACCAGGGTATATACCAGTAGGCCTGGTCGAAGTGAACCGTTCGTGACCGGTGTCGGTCCGTGTGGTGCCCGGTTCGACGCCCTAATCCAGGAAGGTCCCGGCCAAGCGAATGGTTCGAAGACATCGTTTTTGGCCAGGATTTGCGAATATATAGAGAGGATTTGCAAACAAGAGGTCAACCCAAGTGATTCGGGTTTTTGAAAGGAGCACGTGGTTTTTGCCTGGTTCTGCTCACCAGTCTTCGAGGTTTCAACCACCGGTTTGTTTGGGTTTAGGTGAGGGCCATCACTGGGTGGTCAGGACCACTGCCCAGCACGGTCCTGGGAAATCGTGCTCCCACAGGGACATTTGGCTACAGCGATGTTGCTTTTTGGGGGAGACCCGAACTTCTCTCTTCGGACAGAAAAGGCCACATCCTGGCAGTATTTGTGTCTGGCTGTGTCCCTCGCGTTTCTTCAAAACAGACACCACTTCCAATGTCACTTTTTACCAACTCTCCTTCTTTCGAGGGAAGCAACTCAATGACATCATGTAAAATGTTGATTGATCAAACCCCCTCATCTCCACAATGGTTTTACCCATCAACCCTCTACATGATGGGATGATTTGGTATACCCTAGAGCTGGCCCACATCCTCAGGTGGTTGGGGTGCGTGTTCAGGGGGGTTGAACTACCTTCTGAGCATCGTGGTGCCATTCCCGCTCTTCCTCCAACCCGGCCCGGAAGGCACCGCACCTCGCGTCCGCAGGGCTGAAAAGCATGGGCACCCGAAGAACACGGCCCGCGGTGGGGCTGCTCCGGTGCCGTTGGAGAGGTTCTTCCGTGCGACTCCGGACCATGCGGGTTTTGTTGGGCGCTCGGTGTTGTGTGGGTGTGTCTTTGTGCGTTCTAGGCATTGTTTCTTCATGAAGACTTCCAACCAAAATTGCACGGTTCTCATGCGTATGTGTCAGTTTGCCTTGTACAAATGCTTTTGTGCGTAGATGTTTTTGGCAAGAACGGCGTTATTGGACATTGTTGTCAGAACATTGACATCTTTTTGATCCGCGAAACCCTGACGGAATGGTCTTCAACTAACATACTGCATATACAGCAAAGTGTTCCTAAAAATGTTTGCACTCGGCCTTGCTCCATGCATCTAATGTATCCTGCCCAAACGCTCCAAACAGCTCTTGGTCCCTCAAAACACTAGGGATTTGAGGGTCCGGACCTCTACTTAGGAGCGTCCGGCCCCTACTTAGGAGGATCCATGAGCATCTGGGTGGATCACACTCTACAAAATCCGAGTCTGCCTTGCTCTAAGTAAAGTGTTCTAAACAGATTAAGGCGGAAAATGTCAGACACTTGTCGGTCAGATTAAGGCGTCAAGTGAAACACTGCAAAAAGGTTCCAGGACATATCAAAACAATCCGAAAGGAAAAACACACGGCTGGGCAGAGTATGAACTTCGTCAAAGCCATACTCCACAAGCAAAACTAAAAATACTCTCCCTGGAACTAACATGGAAGTGGAAAACCACCTGCTTGTAGTGGAAAATTGTCTTCCAAGGGGCCATTCTCCACGTAACCATGTTAGTTCTAAGGAGTGTATCTTGAATTGTTCATAGGGAGACCTCCCAGCTGGGTTTGAGGGAGGTTTCCCTGTTTTCACACAGTAACCATATCACTTCGAACAGTACCCTGGTTCCATGCTGAACCGCTTCAGCCAAGCCCACGGACCCGAAAAGCGGACCCGCGGACCCGAAAAGGGGTGGATCGTCGTGGACTCCACCGGTGGTTCGTAGATCCAAAATCCCCCACCTGCCGCAATCTCAACGGCTGGATGGTTGTTTTCTACCTGAGCAACTCAATAAGAAAGCGAGATCTTGGATCTGCCCTCAAAACGGCAGGCCATGGGTCTTTTGTTCGCGAAAACACTTGGTGGGATGTAACCGTGTGTGTGTGTGTAACCCTTGTAGTCACAATTGCTTTAGCCTGCAGGGGGGCAGTAGCCCACTCATGAGTCTACTGCCAACGAAGCTGCTCATGAGTTGGGAGGATATCGGAGCTGATCACTCCGACGTACCTGCTTGGTTGTGGTGTTGACAAGCTTTCACTCCAATCTTCTGGTAAAAGGCTAGTGAGTTCGGCAGATGTGCACGGACCGCCGTCATCTTGTCGCTCCGCCTTCGTCGATTCGATGCTTGCGCTTTTGGCCTCACTTCCTCTTACAGACCCCTAGGCTCCGATGGTCCTTACTGGTACTCTTAGGAATTGGAACCCTAGGCCGGCGTGTGGCACCGCTGTCAAGTCAGTACGCATATCCATAAGTGTGTTTGGCCTCGTGCCAACCCGGGATGAGCCCGCAGAGTGCCTCCCGTGGACCCGTTGAACGGGGGTTTGTCGCTGTTTCCCTTGCTTTGGAAGCGTAAGTGCCCATAGCGGGCGAAGTTGGCTTATGCCTCAAGAAGTGGGATGTTTGTCTCATCTTTGGAATTCTAAGCTGGCTCATGCCTTTACGTGACCGCAGCGGTCCAAGCTGGCTGAACGCCTCAACGTGGTCAGAGCGACCGAAGCACTTTTGAGGTTCATTGGAACCTGTTGGAGCCTTAGTTTTTCAGGCGATCCGATCCTCCTTCCCGCCATGAATCCTTCCCCTGCCGGTCTCGCTCCAGTGGAGGGCATACCGATGAGGGCCCAGGCTATTCTACATCGAGAAATTCTTCACGTACATGGCCTATTGACCCTTACCACCTTACTCCTTCGTACTCGACTCGCCATCCTTTCTCCCACCTTTCTGGACTGCATCACCTCGCCGCACCTTCAGGTACAAATCCGAGGACTTGATTCTTCGATTCGTCAAGCGACTCAGGCTATCCATACCGGTTTGCACTACATTCAGGAGCTACTCACTACCTTTGGTACCTTTGGCCTGATTCACGCCTTGACCTACGATACTGCTCAATTGGATGCCGAACTACGTGGACGCACCACTTTTCGAGACCCTCGCCTTCCTTCCACCCCTCCTTCGGGTCCCGGCTCTTCTTCGACTCGACGATCGACCCCTACCAACCTCCATCCAGATGATACCCATTCGCGGTTGACTCGGACCTCTTCTACATCTCGACCTACGCATGGGATTGTGGTTACTACTTCCAATCGCACACTCTCGACGGCAGAGCTTTGGCCCACTATGAATCGTTCCCGATCTCGATCTCGTCCTCGTTCGAATTCGAGGCATACATAGTTTTTGGATTAACACTACACTCTCCTCTCGATTTGCCTGCCGAAAATGAGTTTCGATCCATTTTTCTGCTTATTACATGTTTACACCTTGACATTGCACATTTCTTCTTTTACGTTTTCGCTCCGTTGGCTCTAGCTTGTTTCAGCTGGTTTCTCACGGTTTACCCCCACGCTCTTTTCGTACTTCGCTCGACGCCGTCGCGCTGCCATGTCCTCGAGCCTCATTGACATCGACACCACATTCTCTTCCTACAGGACTTGCCCCAGTTGCTGGCCTACCTGTTGCCGCCCATGCCGTACTTCATCGGGAACTTCTTCATATACACTCCTCTCTGCACCTGATCCTCTTGATTTTACGAGGACCTTGGGACACAACGACTCCTACCCTTGCGGACACCATCACCTGTCGCCTCCCGCTGTCGTCCGAATCCATTGTGGAGGGTTAGGGGGCGGTACCCTTGAAGGGCCCCACCCACCAGCGTTTCACTGCACACATCCTAGGGTTAGTGGTACCAATGTGTATGGGCCTGCCCTCACGCCAGTTGATCAGGCATTAGAGGATGGATCTGGAGTGGCCGCTGGACATACCACTAGCTTACATGAACTGGCTATGCTCATGTTGCTCACTTCTGATCCGTGCGAACGATGGGAAGACCTGGGTTACGGTCGCACTGCAATCCTGTATCGGCGCACGCAGATAGTTCTGGCTGCGGCACGATTGCTGCCAGCCCACCGCAGACTACTGCATACATCTTTTCTTAGTGGTCTCTGGTGGAAACTTTTGTCACTCCAACCTGCGAGAATCCTCATGTGTCTCCCCTTCCTGAAGCGAATCGGGAATCGCACTAACGCTGAAGGACTATACTCCCCGAGCGAATTCCATGTAGAGAGTTTTATTTAGTGCAGGCAGTTACACGGGCGCAGTTGTTGTGTTGGCCGTTCGAGTGCCCTTCCCGGCATGTAGGATTTCGGCCACGTTAGGGGCCATTGCAATGCCGAAAGGAGTCTTCGCAGCGCTCCTTGCTGCTGCAGACCATGACCGATGCAACATCCACCTTGTACACGCTGAAGAGGACACTTTGCGTGACTGGCACCCGAGCCTGTATGTCATGTCGCATAGGCTCACTTGCACGCTAGTCACGGAGTCTGCCAAATGGATGAGTGCCAGCAATGGCACTGGCTGCACTGTTCTCTCCCGCCAGGCAAATGCAATCTCACGGACCTTAAGCTTAGCCACCCCGACATTATTCCCTTACGAGACCGGATGGCTGCCCCCATGAGACTGGCGTCATGTTTTTGCACGGGTCGAGGCGCTATGTGTGCAGAGGTTGCACAAGTCACCTTAGGCTAGTGAAGAGAGAGTTACGATCCAGGTTGCAAAGCAACAAGACACCCAACACAACAAACAAACAAAAAACCAAACAACACCCAAAACCAAGCACCAGGTTCGTAACTCGATCGACCATGTCAGCCAAATTGAGAAAGGTGAAACGAAGGGCAATGAATTCAGCCTTTGCACTCAGGACGTCATCATCACGTCATTATGTCATCACCACAAGAAATGGCTGTTCAGCATACCCGCAGCAGTCAAATTCATTTGATTCTTTGGGGCGGGGATTTCTACAGCCGAAGTGCCATGCTTCAAATGAGGCCACTTCAGTCAAGCACCGTGCTGCAATGATGGGAGTTTCAAGGGTGCTTGACATCAGCAAACGAATCACACAAAACCAGCATCATGTGAGTTTTTGCTTGCAAAACTGTCGGAGGTGGACTGCAGGACAGATGAGGCTCAGGGGAAAACCACTATGTCAGTTGACGAGGACTTCAAATCGTCGAAAGCGCGAGACAGCGGAGCCGAAACATGCAGTGCTGTTGTAAGTTGAGCGCGTGCACGATACCGACAGGGGCAAATCCCCCCCAAGGGGGGGGAGGAAGCAACGATGCTACTCGAGTTTGCAACGATGACTCCAAAACAGCTTAGCCACGGGAGTCACAGAAAGGCAAACTCTCCATACCATGAGACTGGCGTCATGGATGCGGTTCGAAACGGTTATGCATCAGCAGGAGTGGATGACGGCCATAGAGATGCTTGCGCCAAACATCCATCTACCTGACGAGCAGCTACTAACTTACCCTTTTGGGCAACTGTGTCCCGGAACAAGGCATTACCTCCATGGAGGAAGCGCAAGCACTTCTACTGCGGAACTTCCGGAAAAGTGGATGCATGTGCAGAGTGGCTCACCGACATGACCCGTGCTTTGCTTGCCCCTATCCCATTTCGAGAAGTCTTTGTCATCTTGGCTCTGTTCCTGCCGCAGCTCACATTCGTCGAAGGAGCCAAACTGGCCAGTCGCCTCTGGGCCAGCCCATCCACACAGAGGGTCTACAATGAGATTCATATCACCCCGCTCGCTCAGGGATTGCGAGGTATGCATGAATACAGAATTGCCTTCACGGCGCACTCGTGCGCGGCTGCTTTCTGCCCCCCATCCCTGCAGTGGTGCACTTTCGACCAGCTGCTTGAACAGGCGCCTGATGATGTCCCTATTGGTTGTCAGGTAGGCAAAGTGTACAGACTGGTGCTTCTCGAAAAAGCAGAGATCTATGCTATCCTGGTTGTCTTACTG